ATTAGTTCTTTTAATTTTATACAAATTTTAATTTGATATTTTAACTTTAAAAAGTATATTTTTATTTTTTTAATTTTAAAATTATTAAATAATGATTTTTCGTAACAGTTCTGATTGTTTTAAATGTTTTTTTTTTCGGTTGGCAGTTTTAAGAGTAAATGACTGAAAATATATTTTTTAAAGTTAAGCAGGGATTAAATTAAAATTTTGTATAAATTTGAAAAACTAAAAGCATACTTCAACTTAGTATATATTATTCTGTAAAGTATAAAGCTTTCTTTTCTTCGTCCTTGTTAAAAAGTCCTTAATCCCTGATTTAAGGGCTTATTTTACGCCTGATAATACTCTCTTATTCTTTCTGCAAGAAAATTTTGGGAGCGTTCTCATATTAAAATGCTTATTGTCTTTGACCACTCATACACTACGTGTAGTACGTGACCCTGACCTAAAATATTGCACCACATATCCTAATCTGCCACAATAATTTCTTATTTTGAAAAAATGATTAAGATAAGGTAATATTAAATATTAATAAACAGTGACACAATAAACAATGCAAACTTTCACCTCCTATCAAACAAGACATTAATAATAAGTCTTAATTATCTAATTCAGTTACTGTCCAAAAAAGATTAGCAAGTTAAGATACTAATAAGATTAAAATTTTTTATTATTACCTTGAGTAACACGTTAATGGTTGAACCATTGACTTCTCCATCAACATTGACTCATAAGCATTTCTTTTTCTCTCTTTTTTTCCACTAATATAAAAAGGTGCCTTTTTATAGGAACTAATTTCAGTACTCATTATAGTAATAAATACCATATTGCTCACCATTGCAGTGAAATATAAACCATTTAAAATCAATTTTAATAGTTTATATTTAAAATTTTCAACTAGTAATTTTCTGTTATAAACAAGAAATAAGGAGAATGAAGAGTAGAAAAGAAAGCAAGAGATAGAGAAGACAATGGCCTTTTCTCATTCACTTTGGTTCAAGGTACAAATGCCTCATACATGCCCTCTATTTATAGGCCTCCAAGCATTGAAGTCCTATACTAAGGTTACAAAGGAATAAAGAACATTATAATGGCATTAACAATGAGAAACTCCTCCCAAGTCATTCATTAGGGAGGTTATGTAGTTTATGACACTTGAAGGTGAGGAATCCTATGAGAATTCTAAGGGTTAGAGGTTATGGACATCCACTCATGCAATATTCATAACACTCCCCCTTGGATGTCCATAATGAGTATTGTGCCTCATTAAAACCTTACTAGGAAAAACCCATTGGGACAAAAACCTAGTGAAGGAAAAAGAGTACACAATATTTACTCCCCCTAATGATAACATCATTTTAAGTCTTTAAGTCTGCGCATTCCAATACCATACACTAACTTCTCAAATGTTCTAGTCGGCAGTGTCTTGGTAAACAAATCAGCAAGGTTGTCACATGAGCGAATTTGTTGAACATCTATATCACCACTTTTCAAAAGATCATGAGTGAAAAAGAACTTTGGAAAAATATGTTTTGTTCTGTCTCCTTTGATATATCCTTCATTTAATTGAGCTATGCATGCTGTATTGTCTTCATATAATACTGTTGGAATCTTCTGTTCAAGGGAAAAACCACACATTTTTTGAATATGTTGAGTCACTGACCTCAGCCAAACGCATTCTCGACTTGCCTCATGAATTGCAATTATTTCCGCATGATTTGATGAGGTAGCTGATAAAGTTTGTTTTGTTGAACGCCATGAGATCGTTGTACCTCCACAAATAAATAAATATCCTGTTTGAGACTTGCCTTTATGTGGATCTGATAGAAATCCTGCATCTGCATAGCCAATTAATTGTGATTCTGATTCATTAGAGTAAAATAATCCCATATCAATTGTCCCTCGAAGATATCGAAATATATGCTTAATTCCATTCCAATGCCTTCTTGTTGGGAAAGAACTAAATCTTGCCAATAAACTAACAGCAAATGCAATATCAGGTCGTGTTGAATTAGCAAGATACATTAATGCACCTATGGCACTGAGATATGGTACTTCAGGACCAAGAAGTTCTTCCTCATCTTCTTGAGGACGAAAAGGATCTTTATCCTTATCCAGTGATCTTACAACCATAGGAGTAGATAACGGATGTGCCTTATCCATGTAAATCGCTTTAATACTTTTTCAATATAAGTTGATTGATGGAGGAAAATTCCATTTGTCAAGTGCTCAATTTGCAAGCCAAGGCAAAACTTTGTTCTTCCAAGATCTTTCATTTCAAATTCTTTCTTTAAACAATCAACTGCTTTTTGAAGCTCTTCAGGAGTTCCAATTATATTTAAATCATCCACATAGACAGCAATTATAACAAACTCTGATCCATTTCTTTTTATAAAAACACATGGGCAAATTGGATCATTTTTATAACCTTCTCTCAACAAATATTCACTAAGTCGGTTATACCACATTCTTCCAGATTGTTTTAATCCATATAAGGATTTATGCAAACGAATTGCATAATTTTCTCGAGAATTCTTACATGCCTCTGGCAATTTAAATCCTTCAGGGATTTTCATATAAATCTCAGTATCTAAAGAACCATATAAATATGCCGTAACAACATCCATTAAACGCATTTCAAGTTTTCTATGGACTGCCAAACTAATTATATATCTTAAAGTGATTGCATCCACCACAGGAGGAATATGTCTCTTCATAATCAATACCAGGTCTTTGTGAAAATCCTTGTGCTACAAGCCGTGCTTTATATCTAACAATCTCATTTTTCTCATTTCGTTTGCGCACGAAGACCCATCTGTATCCAACTGGTTTCACACCATTTGGTATATGGACTACAGGTCCAAAAACTTCACGCTTTGAAAGTGAATTTAACTCTGCTTGAATTGCATCTTTCCATTTTGGCCAATCATCTCTATGTCTACATTCTTCAACTGATGTAGGTTCAAGATCCTCATGTTGATTAATTATTTCAACAGCAACATTATATGAAAAAATATTGTCAACAACTGTGTTCTCTCGGTTCCATCTTTTTCCTGTAGTAACATAACTTATTGAGATCTCTTCATTATTTTCAGGTACCTGAGCCTCCTCTGAGGTCTTTTGATTAGTTATGTTTGGTCCTCTCCTATAGGACTTGCCTCCTCAATTTGACTATCATGACCATCATGATTATTTGCTCCTTTTTTCTTTCTAGGAGTTTTATCTTTGGAACCGATTGGTCTACCCGCTTCAGGCGTGGTTTGGTTTCACTTGCGCTTTCTAGTTGTCCTGCTGGGACATCAATTCTAATTGGAGCATTTTCAGCTGGAATGTGAGATTTAGTAATTCTCTTAGGATCAGTGAATGCATTTGGCAGTTGATTTGCAATATTTTGCAAATGAATTATTCTTTGAACTTCAAGTTCACATTGTTGTGTACGAGGATCTAGATGAGATAATGATAATGCTTTCCATATGATTTCTTTATCCAGCTGCTTATTATCTCCCCCTAATATTGGAAAAATTGTCTCATCAAAATGACAATCGTCAAAACGTGCTGTAAACAAATCTCCTGTTAATGGTTCTAAATACTTAATTATAGAAGGAGATTCATAGCCAACATATATCCCTAACCTTCTTTGAGGTCCCATCTTTGTGCGTTGTGGTGGAGCAATAGGGACAAATACCACACATCCAAAAATTCTAAGATGGGAAATATTTGGCTCTCGACCAAAAGTCAATTGTAACGAGGAGAATTCATGATAACTTGTTGGCCTGATGCGTATAATTGCTGCTGCATGCAGAATTGCATGTCCCCAAGCTGAAATAGGAAGTTTTGTTCTCAAGAGCATTGGTCTAGCAATCAATTGGAGGCATTTAATAAATGACTCTGCTAGGCCATTTTGAGTGTGGACATAAGCAACAGATTTTTCTACTGTTATTCCAGTTGCCATGCAATAATCATTAAAAACTTGAGATGAAAACTCACTAGCGTTATCAAGACGAATTGTCTTAATTGCATGGTCTGGAAACTGTGCTCTTAATCGAATTATTTGAGCAAGTAATCTAGCAAATGCTAAATTACGTGTTGATAACAAACACACATGGGACCATCTTGTAGATGCATCTATTAAAACCATAAAATATTTGAATGGTCCACATGGTGGATGGATAGGTCCACATATATCTCCTTGGATACGCTCTAGAAATGCAGGAGATTCAACTCCTATTTTTGTCAATGAAGGCCTTATAATTAATTTGCCTTGAGAACAAGCAGCACATGAAAATTCTTTAAATTGAAGAATCTTCTGGCTCTTCAATGGGTGTCCATGTGAATTTTCAATAATTCTTCGCATCATAGTTGATCCGGGATGGCCTAACCGATCATGCCAAACAATAAACGTATCTTTATCAGTAAACTTCTGGTTTACCGTAGCATTTGTTTCAATTGTACTAATATTTGTATAGTACAAACCAGAAGATAATGTCGGTAATTCTTCCATGACATATTTTTCTCCATTTCTTACCATTGTAACATGCAAATATTCAATGTTCTTCTCATTTATAGTCTCAACATGATATCCATTTTGGCGAATATCTTTAAAACTTAATAAATTTCTTTGAGACTTCGAGGAATATAAAGCATCATTAATAACAAATTTTGTTCCTCTGGGTAATATTATAATTGCTCTTCCGGAGCCTTCAATTAGTTTTGTATTACCCGCTATAGTATTGACGCTTGCACTATTTATCGTAAGATGAGAAAAATATTTTCTATCTTTGAGTATGGTGTGTGTTGTAGCACATCAGGCATATATCTTCATTCTTGTGCCCAACAAAAGGAAGAGAAACATCCATATTCTTCACTGAAAAAAAAAAACATTCATTAATATAAATTCGAAGTACATCATGATTAATAATACTCTTAAAAAAAGAGAAATAAATAAACATAGACTAAATTAAAAAGCATAAATAAAGCAAACTAAAATTATCCAAATTCTTCTAATCATGATTCTCAAAGAAATCAGCCACATCCAAATGTGCCATAGCATTAAGGCCATTAACATCATCTAGCTCATTGATATCATCATTTTTGTATGCAAAATTTGCCTCCACATCATCTTTGAAAAGTCAAATTTGCTTCCATATTATTTGAACTTCTTTTTATAGAGGCCTGATAAAGTTTTGCTAGATGCTCAGGCGTACGACAGGTACGTGACCAATGTCCTTTCATGCCACACCGGTAACATTGATTTTCAATAACTCTTGAAGGGCCATTCTTATCTTTTTTCTGCCCATCACCAAGTTTCTTCTTTTGGTGGGTATTTGGGTTATAATTGTTACTTCCACCACCATAAGAACGGTAATTTACGCGTCCCCTACCACGACCACGGCCTCGGCCATGACCACGACCACGGCCTCGGCCATGACCACGACCACGTCCACGCATATGATAATTATTGCGTACAGTCACATTCGCTTCAGGGAATGGAGCTGATCCAGTGGGACGAATCTCATGATTTTTCATTAATAGCTCGTTATTTTGTTCAGCCACAAGAAGACATGAGATCAATTCAGAATATTTCTTAAAACCCTTTTCACGATATTGCTGCTGCAGGAGCACATTTGAAGCATGAAAAGTTGAAAATATTTTTTCTAATAAGTCATCATCTGTTATTTTCTCACCACATAATTTCAATTGAGAACTTATTTTGAAAACTGCTGAATTATATTCAGTCACAGATTTAAAATCTTGGAGCCTCAAATGCATCCATTCATAACGAGCTTTAGGCAAAATTACCCTTTTTTGATGATCATACCTTTCTTTTAAATTATTCCACAATTCTAACGGGTCTTTCACCATCAGGTATTCAGCTTTCAACCCTTCATGCAAATGGTGGCGTAGGAAAATCATGGCCTTAGCCTTGTCTTGGCTAGTTGCTTCATTTCCAGGTAAAATAGTACTTCCTAGACCTTTGGCATCTAGGTGGATTTCAGCATCTAAGACCCAAGACAAATAATTTTTTCCAGTGATATCAAGAGCCGTAAACTCGAGTTTGGTAAGATTGGCCATGGATCAAACTAAAATGATAATAACAAAAATTAGAATTATAATAAAATTGATGCACACTGAAACACAATAAATAAAATATTAGGATTCAAAAGTCACCCATAAATAAATTATTCCTTTAAAATTATAAACAAAATAAATGAATAAATAAACAATGACAAATAAACATATATGAGGGAAAAAAATAAAATAAACAACACAAATAATTAGTTATAATAATAATATAGAGACAATGTATATATAAATATATATAGGGGGAAGGGGGAAAGCGGTAATGTAAATGCGGTAATATAAATAAATATATAAATATTACAATAGACTAACTAATATATAATACAAATTAAACTAAAAATAAAAATAAAAATAATGCTACAGTGAGATAAACGAAATAAATATAAATTGATAAATAATGAATAAACAACATATAAATTATTAGGCCTTATTATAAATAAATTATATAAACAACATATATAAACAACATAAATAAATACAAACAAATATAATGATAGAAGAAAAAAATATAAACAGTGTAAATTATATATATGTATATGAGAGTTAGTACAATATAGATAAAACAACAGTAAATTATATATATATATATATGTATATATGTATATGAGGGTTAGTACAATATAGATAAAACAACATGGGACACTGTAAATTATATGTATATGAGAGTTAGTACAACACAGATAAAATAATGTAAAACACCATAGATACCAAATGGAGATGATACATAAATTACATCAATTATTTGAAACAAACATAATATTTTACAATGTGACAACAAAAATAAAATGACTTAAAATAAAACAGAATGTTAACATAATGAAAAAAAAATTAAAATGTAAAGAAAAGAACAATAGAGTAACATTATATAATATAAAACATGATAATTAAGAAAGGAGATAATATAAAGTTAATATGTAGTCAATACATAGATATATATTGTGATGATTGAGTAAGGAGATAATTAGACGATGAGAAGAGTGCATCATCTTACGAAGGGTTTATACCTCAAATTTTCAGAGCAAGGTCGTGCTGATAACGTGTTATAAACAAGAAATAAGGAGAATGAAGAGTAGAAAAGAAAGCAAGAGATAGAGAAGACAATGGCCTTTTCTCATTCACTTTGGTTCAAGGTACAAATGCCTCATGCATGCCCTCTATTTATAGGCCTCCAAGCATTGAAGTCCTATACTAAGGTTACAAAGGAATAAAGAACATTATAATGGCATTAACAATGAGAAACTCCTCCCAAGTCATTCATTAGGGAGGTTATGTAGTTTATGACACTTGAAGGTGAGGAATCCTATGAGAATTCTAAGGGTTAGGGGTTATGGACATCCACTCATACAATATTCATAACATTTTCAAATAAAAAAGTTAGTTTTTAAAAAACTTACAGTTGAGAGATTACATTTATTTTGAATTATGTACCTATCAAAAGGAAAATTGTAACACCTATCAAAAGGAAAATTGTAACACCTACTTTAATTACACCTAGGGGCTGTTAAATTTACTTCAAACCACTAAGCCAGGTTTGATCCTAAAAAAATAAGAATACCTTTACTAAACTCTTTATTAAACCTTCTCCCAAATGCAGGATTCAATCCTATATAAGGGATAGGATTTTCTGAAAAATTTTAAACTAATGAAATAACTTACAAAATGTCATGTTCAGTAGTTCAGACATCTCTTTAAACCCTAAATTTAACATCAATAAAGCTACCTTTAGCTAAACCAATATTATCAAAACTTACCGCATTAGCAAAATATCTATCTACTAACGTACAGCCATTAGAGTGTATGTCACTTAACTGATGGTTACGAGAGCCAAAACTTTCCTCTTTATAGAGGTAATTACATCCCACAATTACCATACACAATCACACAAAATATATATATGGCCATACATGGCATGACAAAAACTCTAAATATAAATAGCAAAAGACTACACAGATGACCAAATATCATATTCACATCTACTGACAACTTTTTCAACTTCTTTGAATTACCACACCCTTGCCCTTCGAGCCACCTGCATTTGCTGTATGTTATGGAAGAAAGGGGTGAGATTAGTAATGACAGCAGTCCATCATACAACTATAAAAGTTCATAAGCGCATGCAAAACAAGCCATATTAACAGCACTTGCATCAAAACATAAACAGCGATGCTCAAATATCATAAGCTTTGCAAACAGATATAATCAACGATACTCATACATCCAACGCTTTGCAAACAAATAAAATCGATGATGCTTATGCATCCCACGCTTTGCAATGTACATGGCCATGGTAATCAAATCAACATCACATACTCATTATTGAGTACAGCTCTACGAGTTCAATGCAAAGCAAATTCCACATACTCATACTTGAGTACAGCTCTATGAGTCAATGCAAAGCAACTTTCATATACTCATACCTGAGTATAGCTCTACGAGCTCAATGCAAAGCAACTTCCACCTACTCATATCTGAGTACAGCTCTACGAGCTCACAATCATTCATCACAGAACATATCCAACATATATTGATTAAAGAATAGAGGCACAATGGCACAAACAGACATGCAGAACTATTGAATAAGCATGAGGGAAAGAGTCATTACCTGGAGTCCCTTCTTCTGGATTACCTTTTCCAGATTACTTCTTTTGTGGTTTTCTTAGCGGGCTCGGGCAAATATCAAATCATAAAATGTAGTTTCACATATAAATGGGTCAATATTTATTCCATTAAATTTTTATTATAAAAATACAACTTCTCTTGACCATTAATGAACTCTATTCCTTCTATTTAATAGTTAGTCATCCTGGATAATATTTCTTACTCAACCTATTCTTTTTAGAGGGTTCCTTTCTTTATCTTAACCCATATAATTACTGAGTAACTGATTATCTTGGTCAAAACTAATATATATACACATACACACATATAATCATACCAATTGATATCATTTCATTTTTCCAAAATAATTCTATAAGCTCTCTTAGCTTAAATTCTTTAGTGCTCAAAACAGCCACCAAATTAATTCTTAAGTTCAATCATTTAATCTCTAAACTTCCCATTATATTTAATCTATACTCCTAGTCTATTTCCTTATACTTCCATCTCTTAAATTTATGGAAATCAACTTTCATTGTATTAAATCATTTTTAACTTCTTTCTTGATCCTCTTTAATACCCTTTTCAATATTTCCAAAATACTTTTGAGCTATCACTTCAAAATTTCAATCAGTCTCATAATCAATTCTCGGGTTATGGGAGTAGAAAGGGTAAAGCTTGATGGAATTATTTAATTTTAGTGCTTGTAGATGCGTGCATTTGGAGTGCTATTTGAATCTGGAAGTTTGGCCGAAGTGAAGAGACAGAGAGAGAGAGCTGATTGAATGGTTAAAAATTAATGCTTAGAAGTTAAAAGCTAATCTGGAAGTGAACCCCGCAATTTTCGGGTATTTATAGTTTGATTCTAGTTTAATGGGAAATTGAAGACATATATGTAATTAGATGCATACGTTGCCGCTCAAGTTATGTTGAGACGTGTAATAGAATTTGGAAATTCTAGAGTTAATTGAAAGAATATAAGAGATGGAAAAGATTAAGGATGGTTTATAATTATATATGAAGTTTATTGGTTGAGTTTGCTTATAAGGTTATTGATTTTAAATTATTGGTTTAGAAGTTATAAAAGAGTAATTGCTTAATTGGAATAAAAAGTCAATGGATGTTAAAAATGTTTGGCCGAAGGATATAGGAAATAAAGGAAGTTAGGATTTTGACTATGGTTTATGAATCATCAACTCATAATCATCCTAAACCAGCGACTTATTCCCCTGTTTGGCCTGGCCAGTAACGAAACAGAGCAAAGAATTTGAAACTCAAACTTGCAAAAATTTCAACCTCTGTTCGGCTAACCCCAAACAGAGGTATCTAACATCATGCAAGATACTCTACTACCTCTCATTTGCTCCAAATCTTGACAGCACGAAGAACCCCTACATCAAACCCGGATTCAGACAGCAACACAGAGACCAAGAAAGGGACATGCAACATAAAAATCTTACACTGCCATCATCAACCAACATCATTCTCTCCTCATTATCAAGTTTCCAGCTTAAATCGGGAGTTTCTCTGACTAAAACCCAATTTTCTTTCATCATTAGCTCTTCAAACACCCAACAAACCGAAAGAAGAAGAGTAGGATGATGATCAGGGGACTCAACTTGCAAGATTAATCGGTTTGCATGTGACCCAAATACCTCCGATCAACACCTTTGGCACTTCTTCGTCGAGCTCTCGTTTTCCTCTGGTCTCCCTCTCTATTTTAAGACTCGGGCAGTAATGAAATGGAGAAGGGAAATGAATTCTGATGGTTATAAGGATGGAGCAACACGTGTGGGCTGTCCACGAGGCAATGGACCATTTTGCCTTAAATTATCCCTTATTTCTCATTCCCCCCTCCACTTAATTTCCTGAAATTAAAGAGTGAATCCAGAAATTAATCCATAACATTTTATATCGATTTTCCTTATCTAATAGCTTTTGTGACCCTTAAAATGATTTCCACAAGAATTTCGGGTAAAAAATCATCTCCTAACTATTTTTTCTGAATTTTCCAAGAAAATAGGTCCTTTTAACTCCTAAAATTATCCTTGAAATTGTGTAAGCCATTTTTTGGGCAAATTAACCCTTTTACAATATCCTAACCTCTCAAAATTAATATTCCATAACTTTTCCTCAATTTTCTTAGGCATTAATTAATTTTAATAATTTTTTTTTCTTCATCATTCTCCTTGATTCCTTTAACACCTTGAAATTCAGGATATTACAAAAATATTATTTAAAAAACAAAAATACTAAATATTTAATCTTAGCCGTTCATATTAAATTTGAATGGTTACTATTTAATGAGTATTATGGTGCTCATTATTGCAGTAAGCACTGAAACTGGTTCCTCTTTTTATAGTAATTAAAGAGAATTTCTATATCGATTTTGTAAT